GACTGGTGTGTCTGGGGGGCCCTGCTAGAGTTTAATCCCAGCTAAACCACCTACTAGTTGACTGAATTTTGTCAGGTTAATCATCTTCCCCATGTAGAAAGTGGGAATAATAATCTCCAACTCAAACACTGTTAAAAGAATTTTAAAATAATTTATAAAAAGTGCCGGGACATCCCTGGCGGTCCAGTGGTTAAGACAGTGAGCTTCCGCCGCAGGGGGCTGGGTTCGATCCCTGGTCGGGGAACTAAGATCCCACATGCCGCTGGGCACAGCCAAAAGATTTTTTTTAAAAAAGGTGGGGCTTCCCTGGTGGTGCAGTGGTTGAGAGTCCGCCTGCCGATGCAGGGGACACGGGTTCGTGCCCCGGTCCGGGAAGATCCCACATGCCGCGGAGCCGTTGGGCCCGTGAGCCGTGGCCGCTGAGCCTGCGCGTCCGGAGCCGCAACGGGAGAGGCCACAGCGGTGAGAGGCCCGCGTACCGCAAAAAAAAAAAAGAACAAAAAAAAAACCCAGTAAAGTATCTCATATATAAAAGAATAAATGAATCAAAATAAACGAGTACATGTAAGCAGACCCTACTCTCAAGGGGCCGCCTGGCAGGGGGATGGGAGCTAAGCCAGCCCGTCCCTGAAAAGGGCCACCCTGACACTCAGCCTCGGGTCTGTTGTCACAGCCTCGTCAGGAGGAGGCAGAGCCGCAGACGCCTCAGTGGTGAGACCGAGGGCCACCGCGTGCCCGCCCCTCTGTCTGGGGAGCAGCCCTCCGGGGGACCACAGTGGCTGAAGTTCCGCCCTGTGGCTTCTTTCTCCTTGGGGTGGGCCTGTGCCTGGGATGCCTGTTGCTCTGGCCCAGTGGCCACTTTCCTCCTTCTGGGAACATTGCTTCCACTTCAGCAACTGCTCCCACCGCCCCCTAATGCATGCGGCTTGCAGGGGTCTCGGCTCCGGGTCCAGTGGTGGCCGTGACTCCGGCTTCTCGGCTTATTCTCTCTCTGCCACCGCGTTGGGTCCGAGGACGGGCTCCCATCTCCGGGGCTCCCAGGGACCTGGGGGAAGCGTGACTGGACCCCTCGGTTTGTGAAGCGATGACTCCTTTGCTCGGGTGCGAGTGTGAGATCTGTCGCTCGGCTAGAGGAGACCCCTCTCTCAACACCCCCAGCCCAAAGCCTGGAGTAAACCCACTCACCTCTTAGCAACCCCTGGGGGAAGAGGGCAGCCGTGAATGGGCTTTGGACAGGCAAGGAGGGTGGGCGGGGTGGGCTGTCAGGTGGGGAGAGTGGCGCTGGGAGGGGGTCCGCGGGGCAGAGGGGGAGGGGTGGAGGAGGGTGAGGGCGGAGGGGCAGGAGACCAGCCTCCTGGCTTCCTCCCTGAACCTGACCCCTGCAGGCTCTCCCCTGGGAGCTCACAGGAGGCTACAGAATCACAGGACCATCAGGTGGCAGCACGGGGACACGCCTTAGGGAGCATCCACGCCCCCTAATCACCGGGTCGGGGAGGGACGGCCCCACAGCTGCCCGGGGCCGAGGGGCAGAGGCACAAAAGGCAGAACGGTGTCTGTGTAGTCGGTACGTGGGGTCGTGGAGTTGGTCCAGCCTGGGTTCAACTCCCAGACCTTCTGTTGACAGCCCGCGGTCCTGAGTTTTACTTGACTTCTCTGTCTCATTATCAGAAACATGGAAATGACAATGGTACCTAAGCTCTGAAGGTTATTGAAAAGATTAAAGGAGATTTTTCATGTAAAGAGCTTAGCTTAGTTCATGACACTAGTAAGTACTTGAGAGATGTTAGATGTTATTACTTAATCCAAAAAGCAACGAGAAACTGGGGCTCTGAGCTGTCTTCCGGCTCAGCCTTGAGCACACTTGACATGGAAGAGGAAGGGTCCCCGGAGGAGCCGCTCCTAAGAAGGCGGCTGGCAACCTGGGCTTGGAGCCCGGCAGGAAGGCTGTGGGTTCGCAGGGGTCCATGGGTGACGGTGCCGGGGACCCTGGGCCATGAGAGAGGAGTGTCCCCTGGCACGGGCCAAGGTGGCTGGTGAGCTGTCAGCAGGGGGAAGCTGGGGGCTCCCCAGAGAGGACGTGTGCAGGGGGTCTCAAACATACCTCCGGGTCTGGGGAGAACCCCGAGACTAAAGCTCACCCCCAGGGCAGCTGCCTCTGCTGGGGGGGGGGGTCTGGGGGAAAGCGGCTCAGCAGGCCTTTCTCCAAAGCCGAGCTGCAAGGTCCTGCTTAAAGGGAGGCAGCGATGGGTGGGAGGACGGAGGTCCGGCCCAGTGGGAGGTAGGGTCGGGGGAGAGGCAAGCCCACGAGGGGGAGAAACCGAGGGGACCTGTCACCTGATGGAGGCTGAGAGCTGGGGCGGATGGGCGCTCGGTGGCCCCGGCAGGAGCCATGCTGACTGGACAGAAGGAGAAAGTGCAGGCGTAGCTTCTGGGCACAGAGACCTGCGCCCACCACCCCACCTGCCACAGCTGCCCGGGCTCCCTGTGTGGGATCCAAGCCTCCCAGCGGCCCCCCGTCCTTCCCTCCCCCAGGCTGCCCCAACCTAAACAGGGCAACCTCGGGGAGCTGCTGGCTGATGGAAAAATAACTTGGCTGGGAAAGGGGCTTTATTTGTCTGTGCCGAATTCCCGCCGCAGCCGAAGGGTAAAAACCTAGTCTCAGCCCGCATGGTGGGTGGTAAATCTGTTCTTACTTAGATTTTGGGGAGCCGCGGGGGCAGCAGGAGAGGATACTTGGAATCCGCAGTGTCTCTGGGATCAGTCACGTCATCTCCTCTCCGACTCGGGGGGACGGCGAAGCTTGCCTGTCCTGGCGAGCAGCGCTTTGAGGCCGTATGTGGCTGGCCCGTCGTCCCCGCCCCCAGCCCCTGCTAAGCTCGCGGGGTCGGCCCCGTGCTCGGCGCTCTGGGTGCAGCACCCCGGTCAGCCCCCACAACTGTCCCCCGCTTCTACAGGACAAAACCAAAGCGTGGAGAGCAGGGCTCTGGGGGCCTGGGCTGGCCAGGGTCTCCTGGACCTGTGTTCACGCTTTTGATGCTTTTCCATCCTTCCCTGGGCTGCGGGCGGGGCTGGGCTTCCTCATCTCCCTCTTCTCACTTCTCTTCTCTGCCCAAGTCCCGTGTACTTGTTAACCCAGAGATGGAGGGATGGCTTCTAATTAATGACTCCTGGCTTTGGTATTTCTTGCAATCAGTGCCCAGGCCCTTGTGGCCACTATGTCCCAGCACTTGGAGTGGACACACTGGCAGATGGGTACAGGGCCATGAGGTACACCAGGTAATGGCCATGGCTCCTTCCGAGGGGCCGGACAAGGGCATCCCAAGGCAGCTACGTGGGCTGAGACCATCCAGGTAGTCAGGTAGAGTCGGGGACGGCACAGGCCGGAGGGGCTGGCGTGCTGAGACTGGAGGGGGCCAGTGCGGCTCAGTGTGGTGTACAGAGCGGAGGGTGTGCGGGGAGGGGAGGCTGAGGGAAGGCACTGGAGGGTTTTAGGAGGAGATGCAGTCTGGCTCTTTCATCATCTGAATTTGTTCTTGCTGCTGTGAGGAGCATGGACCGCAGAGGGTCCAGGCTGGAGGCCAGGGGACAAGGTACCGGCCGTGATGGCAGTGCAGGTGAGAGACCTGGTGGTGGCCAGCTGTCGAGGGGGCTTGTCCTTTCCCACAACGACCCCTAAGGCCATCCTGCTTCACACCTGGCCTGTACCCCCATCGACACCATCAGCACTTGGTGTCTCCCTGCCACAGCGGCTGGCTTTTCCACTGCCGCTGGATGTGAACAAGAAACACACGACCCTGAGGGCTGCTGGTGGTCACTCCAGGAGGGGAAGAAGCTGAAGGAGGGGACAGTGAGGACGGATGGCAGGTGCGAGAGACACAGCCTCTGAACTACCGGTCCAGATGCCCACCCTGGCCCCAACTCCCGGTAAATAGGGCAGAGAACTTCCCGGGTATTATCACCAGCCAGTTGGATCTCACAGCTGCAAGCATCCTGGCTGATACACTAATTGCATTTAGAAACCCCAAATCTGACTTAAATGTGCCCAAGTATAGGAGACAAGCCTGGAACAAAATTAATTCCTAGGCTTTAACAAGAGAACAGTAGCTGATTTTGAGAAATGGGTTCAAGAATTATGTAGAAGTTGGAAATTTATGAAGTGGGGTGGGGGGGGGACACAGAGGAAATTTACATTTTCGGTTGACGCTGTCGTCTGTCGCTCCCACTCGTGCTCTAAGGCAGGCCACTGCCGAGCGCAGGGCGGTTCCGCAGCGGATGAAGGGAAATTGCGTGCTCACTGCATGCACTCTGCGTGCACGGTGCCCAGCCTGGCACAGGACTACCAGCCTGGGATACAGGCGGGACGTGACAGTCTGCTTCTCTGCCTAGGCGGCCCCAACATCTGCTCTCACTCGGCACCTCGTTCCACTTCAGCCGACTTCTGCCCAAATCTGTTTTCTCCGTCATCTAAACGGAATGATAAGCACAGGCCCAAGTGTACCGTAAAGTCACGAGCAGGGATTCGAGCTTGCGCCTTAGTACTTGCCGTGAAATAAAGCTAGAGACAGAAAGGACTGTGAAAATCCATGGAAATCTGCACGATTATCTGGCTAACCCCACGCCTGGTTTTCTCACCATTATATTATTCTAAAACACTTGGCACACAGCAGGTGTTCAGTCGCTATTTGTTGAACAAACGAAAGTTATACCACAGCCACGTAAGTTAAGTCACAGAAAGTGCACACTGCGAGAAACGTTAACAGAAGGGTAATTACCTTATCCCCACACTGTGTTTAGGACTTCTGAACACCTGGAATCCCGGAAGCGTGACGGCCGCCGCACTGTCTCTGAGGCTATTTGACCCCCACGTCCATCGTGCAGTGTCCTGAGTGATGCTGGCGAGTTGGCAAATAAAGGACCACACTTCCAAATATTTTCACATCCTTACTGTATAGCTCTCTGGCCAGTCTGCTCCCAGACACACATTCAGGATGAACACATACTCAACGCTAGATGATTATTTATTTTCCAGGTTTACAAGTTTGGGGACACGTACGTATGAGCTAAATAAAGCAAACTGCACTCGGAGAATCAATGTGGAGCAGAACATACAAATACACGAGGTCTGTTCACAGGCTATAAAACGATGACGCCATCAAACACGAAGAAAGACATTCCAGAAACGGAAGCAAATTGGACCATGCTGGCAAAGAACCTATTAACTGAGACGGGCCAGGACAAACCCCACCCTAAACGTCAGCGCAGAATTTCTTTTCTACGCCGCCCAGGGGCCTGGCTTTCCTCTTCTGTGCTTCGCTGTGCCCTTCTGAGCCACCCGCCTCCGGGGGGTTATCAGGGTTATCAGGCGTCTCTTCTTCATCAGCCTAGAAAGGAGCAGGCGGGGCAGAGCACAAGGTTCACACCGACTGTTCTCCCAGGTGCTTCTCTGCTGCCTCCTGGATAGGACATTCTCTCCGAAACCAGCTTCCCCAATCCTCTGTACTGTTTAATTTTTACTTCTTCTCACAAGTGACACTAACCGCTTCGTGGCTCAGTCTGAAGTGCGGGGCAGCCCAGCGAAACCCCCGTGTGCTCATCCCTGCTCCTGAACTCTGCCTTCTGTTAAATGAGGGAACTGTGGACGTAAAACGGGGACGTCTCTCCTTCTCCCTTCCTCCACGTCCATTTCTCCTCCCGCCCCTCCCCTCTCCTGCAAAGAGCTCCTTCTGGCCTAAACAGGAGACCTCGGCTGCCCTGTGGTGTCGTGGGTGCTGGGAAACCCTCCAGCCGGTTGAGCTATCTGCTGAATAATTATGTAGAAGGCTGCGGTAGGAGAAGATCAACCGGCCATCCTAGTGTCCAGTACGAACTTGGCAAGTCTAATAGACACTTACACACACAGGGACACACTCACGCTTAACAGAGCAACAACAGGAGCGCAATCAGAGCTGTACAGACAGACACCCCACCTTCTGTCTCGCGTGCTTCTCTGTCCACTGCCTGGCATTCCTGAGGAAGACGGGCTTGTTGTATTTAAACTCTGAGGACTGAGATGGAAGCAGAGAGTCAGTGGAGAGAGGAGGGACTTGGTAACCAAGCTGCAGGCGCTACGCGAGCCTCCCCAACGGAGAGCAGGGCGTGGGGAAAGCAGGCCGCGAGCGGGGGGCCGGGGGCGCTTACGATGTCGGCCATGAGCGGGTCATCGGGGTTGGGCTCGGCCATGAGCTGCTGAACAGAAGTCAGCAGGGTCGCGATGTTGAGGGACGGTCTCCAGGCGCCCTAGGCAGACAGGCAGACAGACAGCGGCCCTAAGAACGTGCTTCTCTAACACAAGTTTTAGAGCCGAGGGCCACGGCAGGCGAGAGGGCTGGCCCTGCTCCCACCACTCACTTTTGGCGGCAACTTGAGAACATCTAAACAAATCCTTCCAGCGGAATCGATGTTGGGATGGTAGATGGGAGTCAGAAATCGGATCTGAGGAGGTTCAAATGGGTACCTTTGAAAGCACAGGAGAGTATGGAAGTTTTACTGAAATACTGCTTCTTACATAATAAACAGCTGCCGGTGACTAATTAGGACGACAGCCTTTGAGAGGCAAACCTTTGCTCTTGCCAAATTTTTATTACAAAAATTTATGAACAGTAGAAAAGTTGAAATAATAGTACTGAGAACCCTCTTATACCCACCACCTGGATCAAGCCCCTTCACCCTCTAAATACTTCAGCATGTCTCTCCTAAGAATAAGGTCCCTCTCCTATAGAGCTGCAAAACTATCAGTATACCTATGAATAAACTATAAAAATTATTGTCCAGTATCATCTACCACTCAGATTCCCTCCATTTTCGCTTTTTCTGTTTTTTACAGATGGGTGTTGAGAACAGGGTCCAATTTTGATTTATACAGTGCATTTGGAAAATCCCCATCGGTCTCAGAACTGACGCCCCCCGTGATTACTGAGCTGCTCCTCTCAGGACCTGTAACAAGCCTGGCCTGGTGAACAGGTATCTACAAATCACAAACTACACTACAGCTACCACTCCCCTGATGACAGCCTTACAGGAGACCTGGATTAAAAGGGGCCTTAACACAGAGGCAGAGAGAAGGGTGGCTGCCAGGTGCCGTGGGAGCCAGTGTTTAATGGATGCGGGGGTTCAGGCTGGGAAGACGAAGAAGTTCTGGAGATGCATGAGGGGGACGGCTGGATGACAGTGTGAGTGCATTTAATGCCACCGAACCACGTGCTTAAAAACGGTTTAGAGATGCATGAGGGGGACGGCTGGATGACAGTGTGAGTGCATTTAATGCCACCGAACCACGTGCTTAGAAACGGTTTAGACGGTCAATTTTATGTATATTTTACTACAGTGACGGGTGGGGGTGAGGCCTAGATGTGATCCAGCTCCGTGTTAAGAAAAAGAAATCGAACTCCAGAGACATGAAATGACTTGCCCAAGGTCACATTAAGCCATGGTAAGACGAGGATTAAAATCCAGGTCCTTGAACTCCTGCATTCAACACCCTACGACACTGCTCTGTCTTCCGGTAACTGCGCTTTACCCTGGAAATTTAGGATATAGTTTTCACACTGACCTCTCAGGAATGTTAACTTCCAGCTTGAAAACACCTTTTTCATAAGGTGTGTCTGCTCCACCTACTATCTCTTTAAAAAAAAAAAAAAAAGAACAAAAGGTCAAGAGGTAATCAGATGATCTGAATTACCACACCCCATGGACCTAATGAAGTCTGGTCCTAACGGAACAGCTGGGTCTGGGACAGAAACTCTCTCAGGGCTTAACAAGTCCCCATGCAATGTACCAGTGTACCCAAAGTTGGTGTCAATCAAAGAATACACAGGAGATCGAAACAGAAGGTGGACAACGCTGGCCTCAGATCACATACAACCTGCAGTTCTGCTCTGGCTGGAACGCAGCGTTCTGAACACTTGTGTTTCCCATCTGGCCTCACAGATATTTGAGAAGGTGAGCTTTGGTACTAACACTGCTTCAAAGCTGATACCCAGATCTTGGCTTACAAATCAGTAAAAGATGGAATCAAAGGCCAAAGAAAAAATGTCATGGAAACCTTTTATAAATGTAAACAAATTAGGTAGAAAGATGGCCGGGCACTTTGACCTTGCAATTGTCCCCTACTTTAGAACACACAGGTGTTCAAACTTCAGCACCACCTTTGACAGGGTCGTGACCCGTCACGCCTGGTGCGACACCTACGAGCTCGCAGATCTTCCATTCGGTCCCCATCCTGCCAGCATGTGATGCCCGGGGGCGGCTCCGCGGCCAGCAGGCTCAGCTCTCTCTTCAGACGGGATGCTCTCTGCATGACCCCAGGGAGAATCACCCACACGCGGTTCCCGGCGCCGCACTCAACGCTGGCTGGGAACCCTGTGGAGAAAAGGGGCACCCACGAAAGGGTCAGTAACAGTGACCCCAGTTTTTAGCACACGGTTGCAATTCACTGAAGGACAAACTCCTCATGTTAATCTCTATTCTGAGAAGGAAGTCTGAGTTTTTTCTATTTCCTTCTAGTTATCTATTCAAGCAAACACATCTAAAAAAATAAAGTATAAAACAATGCAAACATTTCTACGAAAACTCTAGATGCTTTATATTAACGTCTGTCTCCACTGATGATAATTAACTACTGAGGCAGAGCCTGGGTCTGGCTTTGCTCACCACTGCGTCCTGAGGTGCCCAGCAGAGAAACGGACGGTCAAGTACTAGCTGTGGGGGGAGAGCAAGGGCAGTGACGGGGCACAGTCATCACTCCAACGAGAGGTTTATAAACTAATGCTTCAAGGTCTGGGGTTTTCTCCACGTAGTTTGGAATCCACGTATTTCTCAACCCTTCAGTGTCCACTCCGTCAATTTCATCTTTCTTTAGTATTTCCAGTCTTCTTTCCTTCTTCCCATCAACATTCAAACATGTTCAACATCTCTCTCATCGAAAACAAGCCCCTCCCCACTTCTCAGCCCTACTCCCCCCTCTGGCTACCTCTGGCTACACAGGTGAGTCAAACACCACCTCCCAGTCTGCTGCCGTCTCTACACTTCATTCATGACATTTTTGACAAATACATAATATTAATGTAATCAATTACATTAATATTTACACTTTTGTGTATTAAAATTTTCCTTACCCCCAAACTTAGATACTTTCACATTTAAGTCTTTGATCCACTAGCAATCAGTTTGTGTGTATAGTGTGAGTAGGGGTCCAAGTCTGAATTATTTCCCTCATGTGAAAAGCCAAGTGTCCTAGTCCCACTTATTGAAAAGTCCATCCCCTCCCTGCTGATGCTGGCATAAATTTCCATGCATGTACGGATGGCCCTGTTTTGGGATTATCGAACTTGTTTCATTGGTCAACTGTATTCTCTTTCAGCCAATACCCCACTGCTTTAATTGTAGCTTATTATTAGTAAGACCTGGTATATGGGAAGGTGAGTTCTTCCCCCTTGTTCTTTTTCTTCAGGAAGGCCTTGGCTATTTCTTAGTCCTCTGCTCTCCCATATGAATTTTAGAACAGTTTAAAAAGTCTACAAATATACACACAAACACACACACACACAGAAAGCTGCTGTGATTTGGACTGGAATTCCGCTGACTGCATAGATCAATTCTGGGAGAACTGACGTCTTTATGGCAGTGAGCCTACAATTCACGAGCATGCTGTGTTCAGGTCTTTCTGGACACTCTTCAATAGTTTTATAATTTTCTCTATAAAGAGTTTACCTTTTGTTAGATTCATTCCTAAGTACTTTATATTTTTATCTTTTTTAAAACTCTATTTTCTCCCCACTTCTTATTGATATATGTAAATACAGTAGATTTTTTAACCAAAACTTAATAATGCTAATGATGAATCTATCTGGGAGGCGGTCTGCGGTTGGTAATTCTACATATATCATCCATGAATAATCAGTTCTTCCCTTCTAACCTTTTTCCTGTCTTCTGTTCTGGCTATAACTTCCAGTACAATGCTGAAGAAAAGAGCTGACAGCTGGTATTCTTATCCTATTCCTAACCTTAGAGGAAAAACTTTCAACACTATTGCTTACGGGTAAAACTGGCCTATAATTTTCCTTCCTAATTTCGTCATCAGTTATCAAAGTTAAGCTGGCCTCCTGAAATGAGTTAGTTTGACATCCTATAGAAGAGTCTGAGCGATTATCTGTTTCTAAGATGTCTGACAGAATGATACCTGGTAATGGCGTTTTCAATGTGAGAAGATTTTAAACTACAAATCCAATTTCTTTAAATATTACAGCATTATTTAAGCTTTCTATTTCTTCTTGAGTCAATTTTGGCAAGTGAAATTTTTTTTACAAATTTATCTATTGCATTGTTTTACATTTATTTGTATAGAGTTATCTTTTCAATTCTGACATATAATGCTATACATTGCTTTCTAAGTACCAGTGCATTACAAAGTTTTGATATGTAGAATGTTTATTCCTCTATTCTCAAATTTTCTAATTTCCATTACGATTTCTTTAATTTATTTAGAAACAGATTTCTCAGTTTTCAAACATGAAGAGCTTCAGAGTTGTATTTACTATTGATTTCTAATTCAGAATGCTCATGGAGCCACAAGCATAAGAAACATGAAGAAAACACCAAGACACATCCTTATTAAACTGCAGAAAACCAGTGATAAAAAGTTTAAAAAGCATCAGGAGGAAAAAAAAGTCATATTATGTACAGAGGAACAAATGTAAAAAGGCAGCAAATGTCTCCTCAGAGACAATGCATGCCAGAGGACAGTGGAACCACATCTTTAAAATATGGAAAGAGAAAACTGTTGACTTAGAATTCTATATCTGGCAAAAATTAAGGAGATAAAATGGAAAAATAATTAAACATAAGAGTAAATCTTTGCGACCTTGCATTGGGCAAAGTCTTCTTACATATGACACCAAGAGCACAAGAGACAAAAGAAAAAATAAACTGAATTTCATTAAACTTAAAAGCTTTTGTGCTTCAAGAACATCATGAAGGAAGAAAGTGAGGGACTTCCCTGGTGGTGCAGTGGTTAAGAATGCAGGGGACGTGGGTTCGAACCCTGGTCTGGGAAGATCCCACATGCTGTGGAGCAACTAAGCCTGTGCGCCACAACTACTGAAGCTCATGCGCACCGCAACAAGAGAAGCCACTGCAATGAGAAGCCCACGCAAGGCAACAAAGGGTAGCCCCTGCTCTCCGCAACTAAAACTGAGCACAGCCAAAAAAAGAAAGTGAGAAGACGATACACAGTAGGAGAGAAAACATTTACAAATCATACACTTGATAAGGAACTTATTTGTATCCAGAACATATAAATAACTCAATAATGAAAAGACAACCTGATTAAAAAATGGACAAAGGATCTGAATAGATATTTCTCCAAAGAAGATACACAAATAATTCAATAAGCACGTGAAAAGATGCCCAGCATCATTAGTCACTAGGGAAATGCAAATCAAAACCACAACAAGCTGTAACTTCACAACCACTAAGATAACTGTAACCAAAAAGACAGCATCTAAGTGTTGGTGAGGGATGTGGAGACACAAATCCTCATATGTTGCTGGTGGAAATGCAAAACGATGGAGCTGCTTTGGAAAACAGTCTGCCAGTTCCTCAAAACAGTTAACAAGGAGTAACTTATAACCCTGTAATTCTACTCCTAGGTATATAATCAAGAGAACTGAAAACATATCTACTTAAAAATCTGTACATGAATGGTCACAGCAGCATTATTCATAATAGCCAAAAAATGGAAACAATCCAAACGTCTGTCAACTGAAGAATGTATAAACAAAACGGGGAATGTCCATACAATGGAATATCATTCTGCAATGAAAAGAAAGAAAGTGATTCACCAATTCCACTTCTGGGAATACATCCAAAGGAAACAACTCTAACTTGAAAAGATATCTGCATCCTCATGTTCTAAGTGTTATTAACAATAGCCAAGACTCAGAAACAACATCCATCAATGGATGAACAGCTAAAGTTGTGGTATGTATACACAATAGAATACTATTCAGCCATAAAAAAGAGGAAATCCTACCATTTGCAGCAAGATGAATGGACCTTGAAGGCATTATACTAAGTGAAATAAGTCAAAGACAAATACTGTATGACCTCACTCACTTATATGTGGAAGAGGTCACATTTCAGGATCTGGTTCTCAGTTTTGTAGTCTAAAACTTCAACTTGGCAGTAAATCTAGATTTGATAGGGCTTAGATGTACTAATTCATGCCAAGCTCACTCACAAAGACTTAAACATTAATTAAAAGGTCAATTTATTAATTTGTAAAACTACAGTAAAATTTTTAACTCCACATATTCTCTCCCTAAGTTATTCCTACTTGGAAAACTAATTATAATCAGAAGATTACCTGGTGGTCATAGATTGTAGTTAGGAGGACGATAGCAACTTATGATAATCATAAACTTAAATTGAGGCATCTATCTTAACCATATGTTTAAAGGTGACTAAGTTTGTGTATTGGTTGGGTCAAGGTACTCTCCTGAACTGGGGTGCAAAGACAAAGCATTCTTTGGTTCTTCTAATCTCCAGGGCTGTTGCTCCTCCACAATTGACACACTCAGAAATATTTAAACAGAATTAGTAATACTACTGGCAAATTAATATGTTAAATAGAATCAATTACACTACAACAGTCATTCATGTAAATTATTCTAAATTTCCTCAGCCACACCTTTAAGACCATCATCTCTGGAACCAGTTACTTTACTAGGTAATTAACCACTATTTTTATATACTAATCCTTACCACTTTTTCTCAGTGAGTAGACACTGGGATTCAATGACAATAAAACAAATATGCAAAAGTCACAGCGTGTGGCGGGGGCAGGGGTACGTCTGAGGGAGCAGGGAGGAGGCGGGGGTGGGGGGCCGGCAGGGAGAATGTCTACGGGAGAGGGAGGAGGGGGCGGGACGGCCGGGGGGAGGGGCATGCCTGGAAGGGATGGGGGAGGCCGCTGGGGCGTGGTGGTGGCAGCGAGATGGCTGGGGCGGCCGGGGGACAGGGTGACAGGCCGGCGGCGCGCGCCCTCCACGGCTGTCAAGACATCCAGAGCCTCCGTTCCACAGCCGATAGTCGGAGAAGAGGACGGTCCCCCGACAGGCAGAAAGCCGCCCCCCCACCCCCACCCCGCAGACCCCCGCGGGCGGCCTCTCGGCAGAAGAGCCGGAGCACCCGCTCTCTTACCTGCGCTGACGCCCCTCGCAGCGCAGAAGCGCCGACCAGCCTGCACCACGCCTGCGCGAACTCGACAGTTGCGTCGCCCCGCCTCCCGCCCGCGAGGGTGTGATTGGTCCGGAGCGCCTCCCGGGAGGAGCGCGCACTCCGATTGGCTAGGCTCCGAGCGGGCCACGCCCACGCGCTTTGAACAGGGGCGCGGCGCGCGGGAACTGGCTCGGGACTGGCTCCGTCTGTCCGAGCGATGGGCGTGGTAGGAGGAACCGGGAGAATCTGATCTGGAGAAGGGGCTGCGGTCAAGGTCTTTCACGCGGAGGGGCTGCCGCTCCAGGACAGTCATACCCGCGGAGGGCGCTCCGGCAATTCAACGGAATCTGAGGGGCTGGGGGTTCGAGCCGGGTTCCGACTTGGGGCGCGCGGCCCGGCGGTCCTGGCTTCCCGTGCGGGGAGCGTCCGTCGTGTTCGGACTGCACTGCCGGCCGGAGACCGCACCCACCCTCGCCTCCTGCTCCGGCCACGGGAGGGGCAGCCGATCCTCCTAAACCTGCGGACCGGTACAGTCCGACCGCTGCGGGATTTGTGCGTTCAGCCCGGATCTGCGTTCGGTAGCTGTGACTCCCGGTGACCGCTGCGTGGGGCGTCCTCTCTGCCCCGCAGACCCGCGCTCTCCAGGACGGTCCGCGGCGCTCCCGGGGCCTCACGTCGGCTGTGGGAGTGAGCCACGAGGGGAGCTGCGAACCAGAAAGGAATCCTGTTACTGTCCAGTTAGCTGTCGGGTTCGCACCTGCTGTTAGCATTTACTCAGTGGGGAAGTGTTTTCTGTCTTAATTCTGGAGTTGGCTGCTTATTTTAGTACTGATATTTTCAATTTTAATTTCTTCAATGTCTTCTCTTATTTTCCACCCCAACTGTAACTGTGTCCCAATTACAGTTCTGTCTTCGGAGCTGAAATTGATTACTTTCTCGGGTGGTTTTCTGAGAATCGAGTCTTAAAAATGTCTCTTAGAAAAAGCAGGCACTGTGTTGAGTCTGGTGGAAAGGAGAGATAGTATGATAAAACAAGCAAAGACCTGTAGTTTTGGAAGCCAAACCGAAAGAATTGGATAAAAGAAAAAAGAAAAACAGAAAGAACTCCATGGACTAAATGTACAGTCTCTGTTTGTCCACCAGAGGGAGGTATGTTAACTGGTGGGAACAGAGGCCGCGCTGAAAGGTTTTCATAAGCTGAACCGGTGTCATTGCTTTAAAGAATGGAGTATTCTAATTTGTAGTTCATGTTTTAAGTGTACGGGAAATTATTATTTAATAAAAGTTTCCTCACTTTATACAACAGAGTATGTGCATCATAGCTGGTGCACTTAGTACATTTAAAAGTTCAAAAATTGTGGTGATGGTTTTGTAATGTGTAAAAATACCAAATCACTATGTTGTGCACCAGGAACTGACATAGTTTATAGGTTAATTATACTTCAACAAACAAACAAATCTTGTAGAAAAAGAGAACAGACTTGTGGTTTACCGCAGGCAGGGGAATTGGATGGAGGTGGTCAAAAGATACAAATTCCAGTTATAAGATAAATAAGTACTAGAGATATAATGTCCAATGTGATAAATATAATTAACACTGCTGTATGTTATATATGACAGTTAAGAGAGTAAATCCTACGAGTTCACATCACGAAATATAGCTGTTTCTTTTTCTTTTATTTTGTTATCTATATGAGATGATGGCTATTCACCAAGCTTACCGTGGTCATCATCTCATGATGTATGTAAGTCAGATCATCATGCCGCACACCTTAAACTTATACAGTGCTGTATGTCAATTATATCTCAGTAAAACTGGAAGAAAAAAGTATAAAAATTATGTTTTACTTATACACAGGATTATTTGTCAGGATTTATTCACTTGCATATAAAATATTTTTTTCTTTAGAATATTTAGGAAATCTAAACGCTCATGTTTGTTTAATGGTAGTAAACAATTGTATAAATTTATTGTTTAAGTTTACTCTCAGAGAGCCCTGTTTGGGGGAAGACGTTTCAGAAAAAAAACTTAGATGATTTTAATTTTGAAAAGCTTTTCATATCATTATACACAGATTGATTTGTTGTTTTATTTTTGGTGGCATAACTTTTCTTTGGCTGAGCTAGTTAAATTAATTAGATTATAATAATTATCACTGAATTCCGTAATCACATAGCTGGAAGATTCATCTCCTTTCAGGTAGGTTTGCACTTAAATTATGTAAGGAACTTAACTACTTATATTTTTCTTTAAAATCTCCAAAGAGGGTATCATTTTCTTACTACCTCAGGAAAAAAGCAAGTAAAATAGATACAGTAAGGAAGTACTACCTGGAACTTCCTAGTATTGAGACTGAATTCTTCCTATTGAGATTTAAGTTTATACCTCTTGGGAAAGTATGGATTTGACTTGCACTTGGCCAATTTTAGCTTATTTTTACAACTGGAACCAGATGTTTCTTCTTTCCTGATTCTGAATGCGAAAAGAATACAGCCAGAAGAAGTATAACATTATCGATCTATGAAAATTTTACCCTAGTTTAAAAATCCTTATTAGAAAACCGGTATGTAAAATATATGGTCCAATTATACATACTTTTTTTGAGCCGATATTGTGTACCAGGATCATAATGTTAAAATGGTGCACGTGGATTGCTGTCAGAGATCTGTTTCCTGAGATTTCAGCAATTTGCTGAAATTTGAAAACTTGCCCTTCTCTTACTTTCTTGTTTCCTTGCCAGACTAGCAGAGTTCAGCTAATAATAGTTTCTTGAAGAGGGTTAGGTTCCTAGCTAAGTATTATTTCCTATCTGGTTTAATATCAATATTTCTTTTATTCTATAGGGACAGTTCTATTTGAGAGCTTGTGAACAATTTTAATTATCAGCAAGAGGCTGAGTTGGAATACGAAGAGGTTCCATGCTGACAAGTTACAAAGTAAACCTCATACAGAATTTTTAATTCCAATAGATGATGAGGCATGAGAAGTTCTATGGTGACTCAATTAATGCAAGGAAAATATGGCTATATAAAGTATACAGTATTACATCTTTTTATGCACATTGTTCTTCACAGTTCTCAAAGATGTATGACTTAATTAGTATTTATAAAGAATTCAAGGATACCTAATTAAAGCATATATGGATAGACGTAGTATTATTAGACATAATAATTTACATTTATATGTCCCTTTTTCATTTGATTCTTGGCTTGTCTCAGGGGAAATTGAGGCACATGATAGAACATAGTAAAGTTTCCCTTTACAACGACCTAATCATTTTTGCAACATTATTTTAAATGAAAAACTTCAACCATACAGGAAAGTTCAAAGAACCTGATAATTGTATATGTTCTCTATCATAATGGAAAACAGTTATGTTTTGTCCAGGGCTAAAGCCCTGGGGACTTAAAGTTACTGAGTCAACCTGACAGGTTTTAATAACCAAGTTCACTGTGAATATGAAAATGGCCTGCGTGCTGCCTTAGGAATTTAGGACGTGCATGGTATTTTTTTTTTAAGTGAACTATAGTTGACTTACAATATTGTGTTTGCACCATAGTATTTTTTTGTAGCTTTGGGAAAAAAATCATGGAAGACGGGATATATGTCCCACATATGCCTCCCAAGTAAACTTAAGATCCATGTAAAGGGTAGAAGAGGAGGAGAGAGACAGAAGGGAAATTAATATTTATTGTGAACTGGTATACGCACAGAGATAGTACTAGATATCCTTGCATGTATTATCTTATCCGCTCCACACGACCACCCTGTGAGTTTGGTTTTTTTTTTTTTTAATTTTTTGGCCGCGCCGGGTCTTGTGGGATCTTAGTTCCCGAGCAGGGATTGAACCGGCGCACCCAGCCGTGAAAGCGCCGAGTCCTAACCTCTGGACCTCCAGGGAATTCCCTAAGGTATTATTATTCCCATCTTACAAATCAGGGTCGGAGAAGTCAAGTAACTTGTTGGGAGGAGATCTGAACTTGAATGCGCTTCCCACTACACCTGCGAGCATCAATCCCAGGATCTCTTCAGGGCCACCTGTTAATGCGTTCTAAATTACAACGTTAATAAAGCTCTGCATTTACAACCAGGACACGGTTTTGAGAGTTTCGGGTACTTTCCGTCCAGTTTTCCCCAATAGAAAGTAGGGATAATTACCGACCCCTTTTCCACTTCAAAAGACTGACGTGATAGTTAGGGAGCCGAGATTAGCTGTAAATCAGAACAAGAATAAACTACGACTCCCAACAAGCCCGCGGAGGTGCCTCGGGCGGGGGACAGCTCCCGCTTCGGGGCAGAGGTGACCCCGCGCGTCCGCGGCCAAGCAGGGAGCCCCCCCCCCCGGGCCGCGTCTCTTTCCCGATGCATCCAGGGACTTGTAGTTCCCTTTGGGCGCGGGTGCGCCCGGGGGAAGGGGGGCGCGCGGATCTCCTACTACAAAGTCCCGTGATGCAACCGGGGCTTCGCCGCGCCTGCGTGCTGAGGCCGCGAGGGAGTGCGGGCGGCGCGGGCAGCGGAGCAGTAAAGATGGCCGCGCGCGGGTCTCCGCCCTCCGCTCCCGGCTGAGACGCTTGGCGGCGGCTGTGGCGGCGGCCCGCAGCAGCGGCGGCGATGGCGGAGATGGAGCACCTGGGCGGGAAGCGGGCCGAGTCGGCGCGGGCACGGCGGGCCGAGCAGCTGCGGCGCTGGCGGGGCTCGCTGACGGAGCAGGAGCCCGCCGACCGGCCGGGCGCGGAGCTGCCGCCGCAGGCTCAGCGCGGGGGCCCGCGGGTCCGCTTCGAGGACGGCGCCGTGTTCCTGGCCGCCTGCTCTAGCGGGGACACCGACGAGGTGAGGCGGCTCCTGGCCCGGGGCGCCGACGTGGACACGGCCAACGTGGACGGCCTGACCGCCCTGCACCAGGTGAGCGCACGGGGCCGGTGGCCGAGCCGCCTTCCGCCCCCCCCCGTGGCAGGGGTCCCCGCCGCCCGGCAGTGTCCGCATCCCGCCGCCCCCAGTCGGCGCGGTGTCCCCCGGTGCGCGCCCGCGCCGCCTGCCCGGTTCCCTCTCGGAAGCCGGCTTTCCGTTCTCCTGGGAGCGAGTCCGGGGTCGGGCCGGGGCTGGCGGGTCTGGGTCCGCGCCGCGTCCTCTGGTTTGCGATGGTTCGAAGGCAGCTTCCGTGTCCCGCGGGCCCAACTCGCGAGCCCCCGACCTCACGCTCTCCCCGCCAGCGTTACCCGCGCTGGCGGAGAACCAACCTGCGGAATCACCTGGTTTGCTTGATGCTCGTGGAATAGTCTTTCTTTCTTTCTTTTCCCCTAAAGCCCCCTGTGGAAATGACACGCCCCGGATCGGGCTGTAATCTGTGGACTGTGGGTAACTTGACAGTTAGTTCTGTGCTTGGTACGAACACCTTCACTTTCTCCCTCTTATGCAACCATGTTCTGTGTGGCTGTCATGACTAACTCCACCCTCCCTCTCCACGTGGAACTCCATCAGTTATTTCGGTGAGCCGAGAGCTGGACACCCACTCTTAATCTCTTGTTTTCCTTCTGCTGTGTGTGCAAAGTGGATGTGTTGGCATGAGAATCCGCTTATAAATAATAAAGTTCGCGTCATACCACTTCCCTGAACACATTAGCCAGTACCTTAAAATTCGTCCTCACCATGTTTGCAGTCCTTTTTTTTTTTTCAGATAAAAGAACCTTCTTTTCACCCTGTTATATGCATTTCTTCATGCTCTTAACAGTGCCCCACCTAAGGTAGCAACCAACATTTGTGTAGTCCTTTGCTTTTAAAAAATTATTTTATATGTCTTACTGCATGTAATCTCAGCAGTGATCCTTTGAAGTAGGTGTGGCAGGTAGTGTTGTTATAATAACCGTTTTACAGTTGAGGAATCTGAAGCTTAGAAAATGGTTGCTTGTGCGAGATTACAGGGGCGAGAAGTTGCACTTAGGCATGGATTTTTCAGATTTAAGCTCCAGAGCTGTATATCTCACCTAATAAGGAGCTGAATATAAATAAGATGGACGCAAAAGAGTGTAACCGAAAGTGGGGTCCGGCTGCTCGCAAGCCAATAAAGAGGCAAGTTTGGTGGAAAGGAAAGTTTGCTTTACTTTGGATGCCAACAAGTAGGGGGGGGTGGGGCAGAGGGTGGACGCCTGCCTAAAGGCCGACTCCCCCCACCGACAATCAGTGGCCAAGAGCTTTTACGGGGGAGTTTCAGGGATGTATAGGCAGAGGGAGGGGGCTACATGCAGAAACAGCACAGTCAGCTCTGACGGTCATCTTGAAATTGGTCATCGGTGGTCTGATCAGCGTCATCTTGATTGTTTTTAAGTACAGTTAGGCTTCAGTTCCAGGGTCGGTTTGTTCCCATTTCTTGAGGCTGGTTCTCAGAACTGTGGCAGCTTAGGTCATGGCTACAGCCTGGTCATCATGTAGTTAACTTCTTCCAGCTGGCGGGGGTTTCAGTATCTACAAAGTAAACAGCTCACAGGATATGGCTCAGAATATTATCTGTAGCCCTTGAGGAGGGACTGAAGGTCCTTGACCATGCTTAAGGACTAAACTATTATTATTTGGTCTCCTTTGACTGTTTTCCTTTGTTTCTGCATTTTCTCACTTCTCTGATTAAACTTATTCTTTGACTAAAGTTATTCCACAGACAAAAGGCAGGCTGAGGACATGGGGGGCATAGACCATAGGGTCCTTCTCTGTTTCAAGAGAGCCACGTGCATTATTTTAAATTTCTGAGCCCTTTGAGAGGATGAATTTTTAGTTTTCAGATGTATTTGGGATGATGAGATTGAGGTCTAGATTCTGAAAGAAAACACTTGAAGGGGTCCTAGAGGCTAGAGGAGTAGAAACCTGTTTCTAGTCTCCACGTGTTCTTTATTGAAGCACAGTTTTCTGAGTATAACTCAGTAGCCCTGTTTCTTTTAAGGTGACTCTGCCAGCTGAGCCTGGCCCTTACCACACACATTTTAACAATGCTCTGAGAAAAAAAAAAAAACAAAAAACAATGCTCTGAGAAAAGCACCTACTTTGAGGTTACTCCTGGTAGGTCTCCTTCCCACACCAGGAAAGCAGTTTTCTGACCCCTTTTCCTGAGACTGGTCCCCTTAGTGTCTTTCTTTCTCTCTTAATTACCACCCCAGATTGTGAAGTGCAACTTCTCTCAGTTAATATTCTTTCACATTCCGCAATCTCCTGAAATAGGAGAGGAAGAGATGACAGCTGTGGAATTTTCTTTGAAACACCTGCCGGTGCACTATGGCATTCCTCCCTATTTACAGGGCTGGTGGTGAGTTGAGTTGACCAGGTATACTCAATACTAGGAAATTCAGCTAAAGATTAAGCTGCTTGAAGATGTGAGATCAAGCAAACCTTATGTTGAGAGACCATCCCTTTGCTTGAATCAAGACAGGGGCTTATATTGGCTCAGGAATCCTTTTACAAGTCAGTTTCTGCAGAGTTACAGTATGTTTCTCCCATGTCTGAAGAACTCTGAAGATACATACAAGATTATTTTCAAAATGTGAGGCTGGAGCCGCCAGAGGCTGAACAGCCATCGAGTGAATGACTGCTTGTCCCGTGAAGCGGAGAGTGGTACACTTCCATGAATTACTTAGTTAAAATACCCCCCTGCTGTACAAGTGTGATGTGAGCTCTCAGGATGGCTGCTTCCAATCTCTCTTGTTTTGGCCGCAGCCTCCTGACCAGCTGTGGACTATTACCTGGGCACATTGGAAGAAACTCCCAGAAGATGTTGGGGGGATGAGTTTTCTTCGCCCACAAGGTTACAATAGATGTTTTGCACTTCAGGTTGTGGCGCCTTGGTGCTCCTTTTGACTTAGAGACCTTCTTTCTTGGCAGCCTTTGCTTCTGCCAGGAGGTGCTTGAGTCAAAGATAAGCTCCAGGGGGCCTATTAATAATGCTTGAAATAGACTGGGATAAGAAATGTCTCAAAGATTAGGCCTACTCTGATGAAAGCCTTGGAAACTGATGCAGTCTAACCAAACTTGGGCAAATAAATTAAGATTTGGTGTGTATGTAGAGCCGTCAATGAAAAGGGCGTTAATCTGATTATGTAACCCTTGGAAGCACATGTTTGCTCACAGAGGAATTCCCGTTTTATTTATGTGTGTATATTACAGGGCATGAAATGTGGGCTAATAATTCTGTGTGGGCTGGTGCTTTTAAAATTTTCCTTTTATTTGTTTATTTATTTTGTAAGGTCGATTATTAGCACCTATCTTGTATCCTTAGCATTATGATCTTGGGTACTGTAGGTCCAGGTACAGGCTCTTAGAACTGTATCTACCAAATTACCAGGGTACTGAGAGGCAAGTGCTTGCTTTTGGAAAGGAGGTTTTCTGGGACTTGTTAAAATGATGCCCGCTCTTCCTTCAGAGTGTATTATATTGGCACATATGTTTATGCGGGTGTGGGGAGGGCACCGATGTCAGTACACGTGTATCTTAACACTAGGTCAGGCTGATCAGTCTTCATTTGGAGGGATACCTAGGAGACTAGAATGATACTGTGCTTGACTCAGAATTCAGGTTGGTTTTGTAACAGTCTTAGAGTCAACGTTTGGACCCTCAGGGTCACCCCAGACTGGAATTCAACTCCTAGCAGCCTCTGTCATTCTAGAGCTGCCTCAATCTGACCCTGTATCCTCAGGGAAATGAAAATTATCTATTTCCCTGGAAGAGAGGTGGAGGTAGGGATAGATGAGGGAAGGAAGAAAGACAGAGCAGTTTATATTCAGAGTGAGACAGAAGAACACTAAGATGATTACATGTTCAATTCAATTCCAAATAGTATGTATGTGTGCCGACTTATAAGATAAAACTTGTATGCTTTTTTTAATTGGGGTGTAATTGACATTTAACATTATATTAGTTTCAGGTGCACAGCATTTGCTTCAATATTTGTGTGCACTGTGGAATGATCACGGTAATAAATCTAGTCACCATGCAAAGTTAGTTTTTTTTCCCTTGTGATGAGAAATTTTAAGATACACTTTCTTGGCGACTTTCAAATATGCACTACAATGTTATTGAATGTAATCACCTTGCAGTACATTACATCCCTGTGATTTATTTATTTATTTAACTTTTTATTTTGTTTTGGAGAATAGTTGATTAACAATGTTGTGATAGTTTCAGGTGTACAGCAGAGTGATTCAGTTATACATATACATGTATCCACTCCTTTTTCAAATTCTTTTCCCATTTAACTTGTCACATAATATTGAGCAGAGTTCCCTGTGCTATTCAGTAAGTCCCTGCGGGTTATCCACTTTAAGTATAGCAGTGAGTACATGTCAGTCCCAAGCTCCCTAACTATCCCTTCCCCCACCCTTCCTCCCTGGTGACCATAAGTTCATTCTCTAAGTCTGTGAGTCTGTTTCCGATGACTTGTTTATTTTATAACTAGAATAAAACTAGTATTCTTAATCTTTTCTCTTTTATTCCAAGTTCATTATTTACTTGTCTTATAGTTCCATGTGTGAAGGGACTTATCCTGTATATTGGTGAATTTTGCTTAGTGTTAGGGGCACAAGGTAATCTGGGATTAAGAAAACCTGTTGGCGTCTTTCTTATTGTGGATCTAGAACAGTCATCCTGAGTCATTTTGGTAGTTTACCTCTTCACATTGGTTAATAGGAGGCCTTCAGAACATGTTGGCCACCTGGCCGCTTGCCTTATGAGTATTTGTCTCAAGTTGCCGTGCCATAATGGAACTCAAAGCCAGATTTGGAAATTAGGTTTATTTTGATGGTGGTTTTTTTTGGGGGGGGGGTTGGGGGAGTACAGATGCAAGTGACTTGTATTTGTTCCCTAGCCAAATTTTTGTTCCCCATTCTTAAAGTCCTGTAGAGTAGCTATATACTATCGTTTGGGCTTTG